CTATTTTATATATTTTATGAAAGAATTATATTTTAAAAAAATGTTTTAATTCTGAGTGCGCTCTCTGTAATCTAATTATTATTTTGATTCTAGATCGCAAAATCGGGTATTCCTTTAAAATTTATTTTATTGTAAAATTATTTTAAAATGATTTTTCATAATTTTTATGTTTTTTAATAAAAAGAACCTTTTAAATAATTAATGTACCATTCTTTTATAAAATAATAATTTTTAGCCTTAGTTATATGTACTTTTCAGACGAATGTTCATTTACTGGTGCATGTTCATTCACTGGGTCAGTCACCCTAATTCAAAATTTTATTCTTTTTTTGAAAATCAAATTTTTTTTCCGACTTTTCTTTTAAGTTCGGTCTTTTTTTATTTATTTTTTTTTAAGTTAAAAATGTGTATTTTCACAACCAAAAAAATTAAGATGTCCTTTTACGTTATTTATGAGATATTAATTAACCCCTTGAGTGCCAATGGCAAAGATCTTTGCCATTTCGAACTTTGCTCTGAGTGCCACGAAACTGACAATCTTTGCCATGGTAAAAATTGAAATAAAAAAGTCAAAAATGAAAAAAAAAATTTTTAAATGGTTTTTAGGAAGTCTAAGATATACAGAAAACGATGTCAGTTTCCGTTTTTAAATTAAATAAACAACAAAAAAGTAAAAAATTAAAAAAACAACGTTATTGGCAAATTTTTCAAAATCTTTGCCATGAACAGTGCGTTTTTTTTAAAATGGGCTGAAATCGCTTGAAACTTGTTACTCAGGGGTTTTTGGGGTCGCTGATTACGAATTCGATATTCGTTTTTCAAAATTCAAAATGGCCGATCCAATATGGCGGACGATTTTTTTAAAAATCGACCAGATTTACTTGAAAATCGTCACTCGGGGTTTTTCGGGGTCACTGATTCCGAATTCGATGTCCGTTTTTCAAAATTCAAAATGGCCGATCCAACATGGCGGACAATTTTTTAAAAATCTACCAGATTTACTTGAAAATCGTCACTCGGGGGTTTCGGTGTCGCTGATTACGAATCCGAAGTCATTATTTCAAAATTTAAAATGGCCGATCTAATATGGCAGATAATTTTTTAAAAATTGATTAGATTTACCTGAAAATCGTCACTCGGGGGTTTTCGGGATCGCTGATTACGAATCCGAAGTCATTATTTCAAAATTTTTAAAATTGATTTAGATGGATCTAATATGGCTGACAATTTTTTTAAAAATCAATTAAAATAGCTGATAAATAATTTTTTTGGTAACAAAATAACACAAAATTATGATATTACAGAGTTATGAAATGTATATATATATATATATATATAAGTTATTTTTAAACTTCACAATATAACGTTTTTGAACATCTTAAAACCTTTGTCATTAGCTAGTATATTTGTGAATAACATACGTCCCCAGGATGCACCCCCAAACTGATGTCAGCTTGGGTTCAAGGAGGTTGACAATAGGATTAAGAATCCCACTTTTATTTTTTTTTATTTTTAAAATTTTAAAATTTTTTTTTACTTTTTTAAACTTTTTTTTTTAATTAAAAATTTTTTTGTTTATTTTTAAACATTTAAACATTTTTTTTTAGTTTTATTGATTTGAAAATTGTTTTAAAATCTTTTTTATACATTATTTATCGATCCGGTTTAAATATATTTTTTATCCCTAATTAAAATAAAATTTCTTTTCTTTATATTTAATTTTTTAATTTTATATTAGAAATTTAATTAATATAAACAAGTTGTAATAAAATACTTTGGAAGAGTTAAAATTAGCTTAAAGTCAACGAATTAAGATTATCTTTAAAATCATGATTTACTTATGATATGTTTCAAAACATGGATTTGAGCACAAAGCAATGTCACATTTTTTGCAAATTTGTCGGACATTTTTTGAAATTTTTTTTCACCAATCGAAAGAGCACAAAAAAACATTTGTAAAACATATATGTCCAAATTTTTTTTATCTACTTACATAATATTTACAATTTTTAGTTAATTAATAAATTATTAAGGTTAACAAAAAATGATATATTTTATAAACAAATAAAGTTATCGTAATTCTGACGTCAATAAATGGAATTATAGATAAATAAATAAATTATAGAATTTATAGAAGGCTTTGAAATTATTCCCATGAGTATTTGAACTGCATGAAATATAAAAAGTTCATTTTTAGTTATGTGTACCCATTTATTCATTCTTGAAGTCTCTTTTATTTTATTTGCAGCTTGTAGTAAATCAAACTGTTTAGCAAAATATACATTAGTTTCCTCGTAAATCATTTGAGCTAATTCTTCAGTAAAAAATGCCTTAAAAGCATCTAAAACTGAAGTCACCGAAAATATTTTCATTGACTGAATGAATGGTTGGTTCGAAATTGTCAGTTTCTTCCCATAATTTAGCCTTAGTATTTTGAAGCAAGCGGTTCTGTAATGAAATATTACTGTTGATAGGTGACGTAGCCCTAATATTACTTTCATGTGAAATACTTATTTCTGAAATGTTATTATCATCCGTGTATTCAAAATCAATTGAATCTTCTGAATCTGATGATTCACTTGTAGTATCGTGTGATATTTGACTTCGGGTTCTTTTCATTTTTCATTAATGAGAGAAAGTTAAACAGATTAATATTAAAAAAATACCACGACAATTGTTAATTAATTAACCACCGTCTTTATTTTATGCTTCTGTGAAAGATAAGACTATAAAATTATTAAAAGTGTTCATAGAAAAGTAATGAGCAGTCGACTTAAATTGTTGACAAGTTCAAGAGAAAACCAGCGCTGGTCATTTACTGCTTCATCGTTGCGCATAAAAAGACAAAAGCTCACGAATACAACTATTATTACTATATTTGTATAATGAGTATTTGGGATGCTTTTCTTGAGTAGTTAGACGTGAAATTAAAAATTTTTCATGTTTCTGCGAAGGATAAGTAAAAAAAAATTTATTAAAGTGTTTTTAATACAGTTATAAGCAGTCCACTTGGTTTGTCTAATTTATATTATTCAAATGCATTAGTTGACTGTAGTAAATAAAAGAAAAACAATGTTTTTACAACAAAGTATTTTATTACTAATTACAGTCACGCAAATAAAACCCCGAGTAATAAATTTCAGTCAATATAAATTAGTTTTTTAAAATATGGTTCGTCATATTGGATCGGACATCTTGAATTTTTAAAATCTGACTTCGGATTCGTAACCAGCGACCCTGAACACCCCCTAGTAACGATTTGGAGACAAATTGGATTGAAGTTTAAAAATTCGTCCCCCATATTGGATACACCATTTTGGATCATGGAAATTTTGAAAAATTGATTTCAAATTCGTAATCAGCGACCCCGAAAACACCAGAGTGACCATATTCGGGTAAATCTGGTCGATTTTTAAAAAATTATCTGCCATATTGGATCGGCCATTTTGAATTTTGAAAAACGGACATCCAATTCGTAATCAGCGATCCCGAAAACCCCCGAGTGACGATTTTCAGGTAAATCTAATCAATTTTTAAAAAATCGTCCGCCATATTGGATCGGCCATTTAGAATTTTGAAAAACTGACATCGAATTCAGAATCAGTGACCCCGAAAACCCCCGAGTGACGATTTTCAGGTAAATTGGATAATTTTTTTTTTTGGCATTCAGGGCACATTTACTGTTTTTCACGTGGCACTTAAGGGGTTAATTAATTTAATAAAATAAACTGTAAATAAAAAATGCAATATTTTACAAATAAATAAAGTTATTGCCATTCTAAAGCTAACAATTGAAAGCTGACGTAATTCCGCATCCAACGAGCCCCATATAAACTATTTTGGGTTAGAGGATATTTTATGAACAATTGCATGGTTTGCCAATTGTTTATTTACAATCCACTAATCCAAAATACTTCATATAGGGCTCGTTGGATGCGGAATTACATTAACTTCCATTTATTGACGTCAGAATTACGATAACTTTATTTGTTTATAAAATATATCATTTTTTGTTAACCTTAATAATTTATTAATTAACTAAAAATTGTAAATATTATGTAAGTAGATAAAAAAAATTTGGACATATATGTTTTACAAATGTTTTTTTGTGCTCTTTCGATTGGTGAAAAAAAATTTCAAAAAATTGAAAATTTTACCCCATTTTTTAAACAGTCTTCAAAAATACACTGCTTAAATTTTTCAAAAAAATTCAACTCCCTCCCTCTCCTACAGTTTTTGAAAAAACCTAACAATACTTCGTGGTTAATGTATCCACCTCTAGGACTTAACTATGTGCAAGTTACAGCCCCATCCGATCAACTTTTTTTTCACTTAGTACGCTACAGGAATTTTACCCTTTAAGTATATATATATACTGTATATATATATTATACTATTAATATACTATATTACATGTAAGTAATGTAATATATAAATAGTATTGAAAAATAATATTAATGGTGATAATAATTAACTATAATGATCTCCGTATTCGTTCACTCATTCATTCATGCTGCCCGCATCTCCACTATCGTTTTTGCGACAAAGTAAAGGAGCGAAGGATGGACAGATAGTAAAGTAACTTATATCTTATTGATTAATAATAATTAAGCTCTCTAATTAGCTGTTTATCTTTCTTAACTTTAAACATGCATTTTATTCTCTTAATAAAGTTAAATTATTTGTTTTTAAGGTTCCGTACCCAAAGGGGGAACCCTATTAATGATACTAGTGAAGCAAGACATGAATTTAGCGGCCACACGAATTTATCTACAGCGCTGAAATTTGGTACACATATTTATTTTGGCATGTAGATTACAGGAAAATATATCGAATCTCATAGAAATTGTTATCATAGCGTTGTTCAGGAAAAACCATGAATTTTTACTAAAAATGATGATGTACCCCCCCTGGTGGCCACATTTTTCACATAGAGAGCTCAAATTTGGTACACTTATGTATTTTTACGTAAAAATTACAGGAAAAATATAGCCAACAGGATTCGGATCGATTTACATAGCGTTGTCAAGGAAAAATCAAAAATTTTGAAAAAAGCGTTTAATCCTCCTAGCGCACAAACTATTTGACCAAGACAGTTCATATTTGGTATACATGCGTGTTTTGCGTATAGATTTCTGGAAAAATATAGCGAGTACGATTGGAGTTGATGATCATATTGTTTTTAAGGAAAACTCATATTTTTAGAAAAAATCATGGATTTTTCGAATAAAAAAAGAAGCGAATTTTATCTTAAGAAATTCAAGTTTATACATTTTTACATATTTTTACGTGTAGATTACAAAAAAATATAGCGAGAACGATTAGAGTTGATCATCATAGCGTTTTCAAGGAAAAACTGATAATTTTCGATAAAAAAAGAATTTTTTTCAAAAAACGAAGAAAATTTTATCAAAAGGGCTTCAAATTTATACATTTTTACGTATAGATTAAAGAAAAATATATTGAGCTTGATTGGAGTTGATAATCATAGCGTTTTCAAGGAATAACTGATAATTTTCGATCTATGTGACTATGTGTCTATCTATGTGTTTTCATGCTCACATTACAGGAAAAATTAAGCAAAATTGGAATTTTTCCACCTATCTTCACACTTTAACCCCCTTAAATTTTCGGTTTAAGGGTACGGAACCCTCGGTTTTAATGCGAGTGTAACTCGCACTTGTTCGATTTGTTTTTCTTGATTTAATATATTTGATTAGTTTATTTATTATATTTTTAATTAAATAAAAAAAATATTAGTATTTGTTAGATGTTGGGTAAGATAAAAATAACACATAAAATACAGAATAATGATTTGTATATTTTATAGACATTGGTACAACTGTTCTATTTTAATAATACGCAAGGAATGAACGAGAATCGACATGCGCAAAATTCAGTGTAGATAGAGTAGGGGTTTTTCGGACAGGGGCGGACGTTCTACACTCCAACACTACTCGTTCACATACTGTCCAAATCAGTCCTTAAATAGATCCTGAAATCAAAACTAGATTAATTTTCGGTATTCATTATTTTAGAAATAAGTTTTTTGTGGCTATCAAAAGGAAGGGGTTTAGTTAAAACATCTGCAATCTGATCTTTGGAACTTACCTACTTAACTTTTATCAGATTTCTCTTAACACACTCCTTAATATGATCATGTTTTATTTTGATTATATGTCTGAGTTTGTTACCACTGTCAATTTCTGCACTTATTCCCGCCGACTTATTGTCACACCACAATGTCACGGGAGTAAGAGTTTTTTCAATGGTTAATTTAATCGAATTGTACAACGAAAGGAGTTCCTGACTCGCTTCGCTCATAGCATCATATTCTGCATGATATGTTGATAGAGCTACATAAGTCTGCTTATGGGTTTGCCACGCTATTGTATCGCCGAACATTTTAAGTAGAAATCCACTCGTTGTTATAGAATTTTTACAATCACCAAAACTGGCGTCGGAATAAGCTTGGATATCCTCACTCTCACCTAGATATCTCAGACTTAGTGAAAATGATCCTTTCAGATATCTAAAGACACGTTTGACCATTATCTAATCCTCGTCAGTGGGGCTCACCTGGTGTCTACTCAATAAGTTAACAGCATAGGTTATGTCGGTTATATAGTTATTCCGACAGCTTCTCGTTATGGAATATTCTCTTTGGTTTCAGTTTCGTTTAGGATTTCATTATTAGATTCCATTTCTCTTAATTTTCTTGCTCTGTTATTAACCTGAGCAGTATTCATGGGCGCTCTTTGTGCGAGTGATTGATCAAAACAAAATTTTATAAGAATCTTTCTGATAAATTTTTCTTGGCTTAATTCAATAATCTTATTTTCTCTGTCTCGCCTTATTTGAATGCCCAAATACTCTTTCGGCTCACCTAGGATATTCATTTCAAATTTTTCTTTTAATTCCATTTTAACTTCGATTTAGTTTTCTCTTATCGTTGCTTGCTATAATTATATCATTAACGTAGAGCAAAAGAATTAAGTATTTGTCTCCCTCTCTCCAATTGAATAAACAAGGTTCTAAGTCCGAGTTTTTAGAACCCATACTCAAAGCTTCTTTAGTGAATCGGTCGTTTCACCGTTTTGGACTTACTCTGAGTCCTTAAAGAGAATGTTCAATTTTACAAACATTTTCATTTTTATCTTTGTTTGAAAAACTCGCACCTTCCGGAATTTCCATGTAGATTTCCCCGTCTATTTTTCGATTTAGGAAAGCCGTTTTGACGTCTAACTGACATACCTCTAGATCATATTTGTTAATGATAGCAAATACTATCCTCGCTAATGGTAACCTTGACACCGGAGCGTAAGTTTCTTTAAGCTAATAAAAGTTCTTATCTTAAAACCCCCAAATAACTAAACGCGCCTTATATTTTATTTTGCTATCAGACTTAATTTTACTTTTAAACAACCATCGGGAGTCGATTATCGTTGCTTTTTGGCCATTTTTCATGTGTGTGGGTTGTTTAACAATATTCCAAACTTCATTTTTTCTCAACAATTCTAGTTCCTCATTTATAGCTTCTTGCTATTTAATTTTATCTTTAGTTTTAATCGCGTCTTGAAAATTCACTGGGTCTAAGTTAATTTCTGCCCATAGAGCGTGAAATTTTTCGTCGTTAATCATGTCTGTCTCGTCTTGTAAAGGATTTGTGAACGAAGTTCTCTCACCCATCATTAACTCATTTTCTACTTTATTCTCACCTTCAATATCCTTTTCTTTCACTTGTATTTCACGTTTCCTAGGCCTTCCCTTTTTCGCTTCGCTTCTCCATCTGAATTTAAGATTTTTTTTAATTCTTTCTCGCCTTTTTCAAATTCAACGAACCAATTTTCTTTGTTTATCTCACCTTCAATACTTGGGACATCTTTGATATCATTTTTTTATACTTGTCCTCATAAACTAACTTTTCAATAAACTTGACATCTCGACTCTCTTAATACTTTCCTTCTCCAGGTCTAATAAAATGGTATCCTGTTGGCGTGTAACCAACAAGAATAACCCTTTTTCTTTCGGCTCTAAACTTTGGACCTAATTTTCGTTGAACTTTGATGTACGCAACGCAACCGAATCTTTTAAGTTGTTTAATATCAAAGTTATGATGAGGAGCAAACTTTTCAAGAGAAGCAATTATATTGTTCGATTTGTGTGGGGTCTTGTACGCCTAAACTCCAGCCGAAAGGGCCAAGTCCCACAAACTTTCTGACCTCAATTGTCTCACCTCCTGTGAATTCAGTCCCTTGATCTGTTCGCAAGTAACACATTTTTGCATCGTGACCCAACAGATTACGAGCACTTCTTACGAACATCTCAAGGCAGTGTCCCGTTGCTCTTTTGGTTTTCATAGGATAGGCCATAGCTATACGCGAAAAATCGTTAACGAATATCGATATATATCTGTACCTTTTAGGATGTGAAGCTGGAGAGATTGGCTCTATTACATCGGAATGAACTATTTGTAATGGTGATGTAGATAGCCTGCGTGTCATGTTAAATGGTAATCTATAAAATTTCGAAATTAAACACACCTCACAGTCTTTTATAGAATCATCAAAAATAGCCTCATTTAATTCTTTGTTTTCTGCAAATTTTAATTGTAAGGTTTTTAAATAAGCGACTGATGCATGGCCGAACCTTACGAGCCATAACATCACTCTATTGTTTTTCATTAATTTATTATAGTTATTAGATGTGGGAATTTCGTCATTATTTAAATCTACAGTGGGTAACTCATTTATATTTTGAAAATTTCTGACCCAAATTGTTGTGTCAAAATTCGAAAGTTCATAGAGTATTTGTTTATCATTTTTGGACTGATTTTCTGTAGACTCGCCTTTAAGAATTAATTCATCTTCGACAACCAATTCTTTTTCTTTAGTTTCATCTCTCGCCTTTGCAGTTACACTTCGCGTCTCATATTTTTTAACCAATCTCACCTTTTTCGACTAAATTAGCAAATATTTTTGTACATACAACTTTAGAACTGTTTTCATTATTCTTCGAGCTATTATAAATTTCCAATTCTATTATCCAATGTGCTTGTTCATATACCCCGGTGAAGACATTAACTTTGCACCGTTTGATTTCTTTTAATTTCTTTAATATTTCTCCCGGATTTTGTATTGTAATTCGAATCTAAATGAATAATTAAGATATCCCGCACCTTAAATTTTTGCATTTCTAATTTTTTCTCTTCTAATTTCTCTATTCTAATATTCTCATCTATTTTATGCAGTAGAACATGTGATGTTAATTCAGATGAAAAATAGTCATAAAAGTGTTCAAATTTTATTTAATTACTCAATTTATAATCCCTTTTTATACTCTCGCCTTTCAAATTTTACTGTTTTAGATTCGCTATTAGAACTACTTTCTTTACTTTTAGGCTGATTTAAATTTAAATATTCTAAGTGATTCTTTACTACTGTCAAAATTTCCCTTTTTAAATTGTCTCCCGAGGCTGAGCCCTCATCCGGGAATCCCTTTTTCATTTAATTCTTTCTGTTTATCAATTTCTAATTTTGAAAGAATATAAACTATTTCATCCATTTTTTGAAATTGTTTCGCATGGTCCTCCTGAACATGATTTATTAGGCTTTGCAATTTTTCGTGCTCTTTTTGAGTGGCTTCTTTATCTCTCCTGAGCTCGCTTATCTCTTCTCTCATGTTTTTAGTAGTATCCGAGAATGCTTACAACGATTTCACGGAATTATTACACATTTGATTTACCGATCTTAGGAGGCTCCTCATGTTCAATTCTTGCTCTTCTTGCTTCTTCTTTTTGATTCTTGTTAGTACTTGATCATTTGGGAAATTAGATGTATTTTGATTTTCGCTATGAATTTGAACAGCTCTTATATTAGTTTTTAATAAATGTGGTAGATTAACCACTTGATTACTTGTTATTTGAGGTAATTTACCTTTTTGCTTGAAATCTGACACATTTTGCATTAAATTCGACTGTACCGCTCCTTTCACACCGACCTCATCATCTCCTCTTTCCTCTCTAATATTTATGCACCCTCTTTCTTATATAACTCTTTTTCAAACTC